AAATTGAATTCTACAATGCTTGCTTAACTGACACGTTTGACAAGAAAAATTAGAAACAGACACTGACTTACACAGTTCTGGGAAAACAACTTTTAAGGACTCAAAAGGACAAATGACCCAGACGACAATGCCACAAATATATTTTACTCTTTCTGAAATGACTCATAGACTCTATAACATGAAGGCCAACCGTATTCTCCAGCATATAGAGTCCATCAACCATACGTCCTCCCCGAGGCCAGATCCTAAATCACACAATAGGAAGGGAAAAAAGTCACAGAACAATTTAAGGAATTGTAACACTACTGACTGAGAACAAATTCATAGGGAATTTTAGAACATGAAGAACATCAGAAAGAGTAAGGCCGAGGGGAAGAGAGAAAGTTCCTTGACCAGCTATGGAAGTGTATGATCCATCAACTAGTCTCACTTTATCTCTTTCAGAAAGAGGGTGATAAGTTCGAAAGTAAGAGGACATACCAATCATGTGTTTTGACGCTCCAGAATCAATGATCCATAGAGAGTCAAGGTTGTGAGAAGCAACATGGAAAGTTGTGGTAGGATTACCTGATGTGGATGCAAAAGAGGTGGTGAGAGGAGCATCCACCTGGCGAATTGCTCTACCATAAAGCTCCAAATGGTCACAGAAGGAGTTTACAATATCCTCCCTTGGGTCAGATCCAGAATAGCTATGTTGGCCATGTGGTGTTTGATTCACAGTAGAAGTGAAGGGCTGATTCTCCTGAGTAACCATGTTGGCCATGTGGTGTTTCTTGGTACCTTGTTGCCTGGGCCTTCTAATTACATCTGAGCCTTGATTCTTAGGTAGATCCTGAGCCCACTTTGGTTTCCCATGGAGATCCCAACAAGTATCTTTGGTGTGCCAGGGCTTCTGACAATTAGTGCACTACAATTTTTCCTTATCTTCTGCTTTCTTCTGGAGATCCCCTCTCTTGGAAGAAGGTCCACCACTAATAGAGGTACCCACATTTGCCGCCAACACAATTGCATCCCCTCCGGTGCTGTTCACCAAGTTTCTCTTGCTCTCTTCAGACTGGACAAGAGCATAGACTTCCTGAATTGAAGGAAGATCCTTAGAACTTAGAATTTGTACTCTGATGGATTCATAGATAGGATTGAGACCATGTAAAAAAGCAAACACTCTTTGCTGTGGGACAAGTTTCTTATACAATTTTGCATCTTCATCACACTTCCAATCAATATTCTGGTAATGGTCCAACTCCTTCCAAACAGTGGTCAAGTCAAAGTAATAAACTAATAAACTTCTCTCCCACTGTTGACAAGTAGATGAGGCTACTTGCAGTTGATAAATCTTGGCATAGTGTCGAAGTTCAAAATATGTGGATTTTGCCTGTTCCTAGATCTCATTTGCAGTTTCAGCCCACATGAAGTTCTTCYTTATTTGYGGTTGCATGGAGATCAAAAGCCATGACATAACCATACTATTCTCCTGATCCCATCTATCATGTTCTGCATTTCCAGAAGGTGGTTCTTTGATTCTTCCAT